TCCTCCTAAATTTTTAGGGCCCCGAATTGAGGAAACGGGAGCCCTATAGTTCTCACTTTGTCCGTCCGTCCCTCTACAATGTAAAACTTAAACTATTAACATACAGAACTGAAATTTTACACACTTGTGTAGCAACATATGTAAATGTGAATACTAAAATTTGTTTTGATCAGTTGTATATTTTGGGTAAATTTAGGGTTTTTTTTTGTTTAATCATTTTTATCGACACAAAAACGTCACAACTATACAAATAGAAACCAAAAATTTTACACGGTTGTTAACCTACATATGTAGATGTGCATATTCAAACTTGGTTTAGATTTGGATGAAAGTTTTCGGAGAAAAACACAAAAACAAAACAAAAACAAAAAAAAATTTTGATACAATATTACAAATTTTTGAGAATCAAAGATCAAAAGTGCCGAGGGGGCCCTTCCTGACTCTGTTTCTTTTCTATTTTTGTTGAAACCTCAATTCCGAAAAAACATTTACTGAGTTATTTACAGGACACTTGTTAAAAGTTTTGAATTTTATTTTTATTTTTTATTTTCTCTCAGGAAATAAGTCCAATGACATAGTGAGCCGGCTGAAAGATATGGAGAATAAGATGACCACTTTTTCTAATAAATCCGCCGAAAGCCAGGTAGGAGAGAGTTTAGCACATGTAAGGATACTGGCGTCTTACTCCAGGCCCAACTTAACACCGTCACATGTTCTATTGGCTGCCATAGAATCTCTTGTTACTGTTGCTACAAAATATGGACATAAGGAAGCAGAATTTTTCTCTAAGGCTTATACTGACTGCAAAAAGTTCGAGGATTCTAAGGATATCTGTAATTTAGCAATGAAATTATTTGGATCGGCAGAGGACAAAAAATTAGCTAAAATGGTAGCCGAGTGGATGAAGGGTAAAAAGTATGAGGCTTCTCCGAAGAAGTCTGTAAGAATTGAACAACCTGATAAAGAAAATGATATTAAAATGCCACATAATTTTGGTGCAATTAATAATCCTGCCTCTTTTGGTTACCCCTTTGTTCAAGGTCCAATGCCTATGCCACCTTTTTATGGCTCTCAGGGTTATTCTAATTTTCAGGGGAATTTTGGGAACGGAAGATTTAATAGAAGGGGAAGGGGAGGGTACTCCAGAAGAGGCAACTGTCTTTTTTGTAAAGAAAGTGGGCATTATGTTGCGGAATGCCCGAAGATTAAGAAGGACTCTTAAAATAGTATTGATTTGTTCAAAAATGTGAATTTCATATTTTGGGATATTTATTCTGGTATTTGTGTTTTGTGATTTTGTACATTTTGCTTACATGTTCATATCGTTTAAATATGATTTTATGGATACTAGCCTTTAACCCAAGGGACACTGAAGCCCTAGTGAATTTTATATTCACGTGGGTTGGGGGCTGAGTATCCAGCTCTGTAATCTCTTGGTCTAAGAATGGTTTTATAATTATTTCAGGGAGAAGTTTTAAGCCATAGTAGTGATAAAAAGAGGCAAAAAATTATACCAGATATTCCTATTTGGGAGTTGAAATCTAGTTTTAATCCTTCAGGATTACAGAGAAGGATAAGGGAAGACTACATTGAGTACAGAGGTGCGATATCTCAGCCCTAACCCATATTTTTGCAGAGGGTGTAATTAACAATAATGAAGAGTTTGATTTGTGTAATTTGAAGATTAGAAACCCTACCAATTTTACAGCAGGCAGTTTGCATGATCATTTTGATGAATGGGAAAAAATTTGTACGGATAAAAAAGTCCTAGATTGGGTCAAAAATGGTGTAAATGTTAATCAATTTTTTAAGCATTTCAAGGGAAACTTTAAAGGGAGGCATTATGACCATAATATTCCTCCGGGTAATTTACTACCTAACGCTAAGATTTGTGAAGACTATACCCAGTTTATTGCTGAAACTTTGGAGGAAAGGTTAGTTCTTTGACATTACTAGGGAAAGTGGGTGAATGCGACCCTCCTTATTTAGTGCTTCCTCTGACTATAGAACCTAGTAAACCGAGACTTTGTCATGACGAAAGATATCTCAATTTATGGATCATTGATAGTCCCTTTTCTCTGGAAACCTTAAGAGACCTCCAACGCCTTGTTCGTAAATGTGACTTGATATCTTCTTTAGATGACAAATCTGGTTATGATCAGATTTTTCTGGATGAGAATAGTAGAAAATATTTTGGTTTGCAATTTGGTGGGTATTATTTTGTCTTTAACACTATACCTTTTGGTTTCAAGGCAAGTGCATATATATATCAGATGACTGGGACTCCTCTGATTTACCCCAACGTAAATTGTTTGCCTTCATTTATACATGTATTTCTTTTATTAATTTGTAGAATGGGAAACTTAAATGTGAGGTATTTACGGATAGCCTACACCATTTGTTTAAATCACTTTTGATACTATATATTTAAACACACACTCATGTAGAGACTGTTTTAGCATAATCAAACTTTCAGGTTCATACTTAACTTTTACACATGGTAATATTAGCTTTGTAATTTTGTGTACTGGTAGTTATGTTTATATAATATAATGAAAGGAAAATTGTATTTTGCTAATAAATGTGTTATTTTGAAAGTTTTATTCTATTTATTTGATAATATCATATAATAAAACTAAGAATATGGGGATATGTCATGGATGTTAAGGGTTATTTGGGAAAAGTTTTGAGGGTTGGGAATATTTTCTGTAGTTTTGGGTAAGTAATGGGAGGTTTCGTTGGTTAAAGGGTTCAATTTTAGGAATTGGTGTTTAGGTTGAAGAATTTTAGATTAATTGGGGTTACTCTTTCATCCCAATACTTAATAAATCCCGAGTGTATTTGAGCGAGTCTGACTTTGGATAGGGTAGTATCCTAAGTGAGATCTCGCGAGAATCACGAGGTGATTCAATCAGTCTTAGCTGAACAGCCGTGGAGGCCTTTTCCTGCTTGTGACTGGTGGCGTTATTCTAGGCTTGCTTTCTTTTAGCTCATATTAGAAGATGTGGAAACTCAAGTTATTTTGGAGAAAATTGTGTAAACACAAGAGGGAATGGTTTTTGGAAAAAAAAAAAAAAAAAAAAAAAAAAAAAACAACAAGAAACAACAAAACAACATATTAAAAATAAAACAAACAAAAAAAAAACCCCAAAAATTACAATGAACAAACAACCTCCCAGGAATGGAAGGAAAACCAAGCTAAACGAACAATAACAAAATAAGAAAACTTCACAAGAAATTAATAGCTAACTCAACTAGAAAACCAAGATATGAATATTTTAAAAAAAGAACAAGGGTAAATTAAAACCCTGAGGAGACTTTGGCAGTTGCTCTTTAGTCGAAACATATATCAATTGTAGAATATATAAAAGGTCCTGTTGATCAGACAATATCAGAATGCATCAAATTAGTTTATTTTATCAAAACGTCAAATATTTTAAAGGATGAAACCAGGCAAACTGATGATACTTACCAGGTGTGTTTGATGCTGTTGACTAATGTTAGTGACACTCGAGCATAAAAAACGGATTGCAAATATGCTGTTGTACTGTTATGTGGCCTGACCACATATGTGAGCGGGACATATAGTGTTATCCTTGTCCATAAGTATTTGGTTAAGGACCATATCTTGGTAACTACATGTATTACAGCACTGGTACAGTAGATATCTTTTGGGTAGAAGGTTACTACAAATTAGGTCACCATGACCTATGTTTTACGTTTTAAGGATTTTGGTTATGGTAGGACTATCTTGTCTAATAGACAGTTTCTAGTACCTACATGTATGAATGGTAATTGATATTGAGACTTGTTAGTTCCAGAAATAGACAAATATTTATATGATGGGATGGCGTTGTACAACAGATGACAAGATTTGTGACCGAAATCAGTTCCTAGTGTAAGGCCTAAAATAAAATAAATAATGCAGTATGTAGTCACAACTATTGATTAAGCGGCACTCGCTCTTTTAGACTCTGAGTAGTGTAAAATGTATGGTTTAACAACATACCCCCGCTGATTTTCTATTATATACCCATTGTGTACAAAATATGTGTGGTATGTGATCCGCACAGATTTGCAACGTAAGCAAGAAATGATGATAAACTGTATAAAGAGAGGTAACTCAGATTGTAAGATTTGCAGCGTAAGCAGTAATGCGTACAGAGTATGTGTGGTATATATGGCAATAAATATTTGAATTTTGAATTTTGATATGAAATCTGTACAAATTTGCAACGTAAGCAAAATAATATCAAATCCCACTCTATATATGTGGTAAACAAGGGTGTAATTTATGTATCAGTAAATTAATATTTTAATCTTAACCCGCTGAATTTGTCATCAATGGTTAAAGTTGAAAACGGCATGTATCCATCGTTACACAAGTCTGAGATGATAAACAACACATTGATTTTTTTTTTAATCAATTTCTAAACAGTTTATTAATTTAAAAAATCAACGGGGCGTCCGTCGTTACACTGTAATGGGATGGTAAACAAGGTCAATATTCGGGGTTGTATTAAACGAAAATAAGGACATTTTTTTTTCTTTTATGAATAGAATATTTTTTATGTGTAAATACATAGAAACCAGCCAGAAATGTATGCTGTATGTGTACTTAAAAGTACTAGATTTAATTTAAACTAAGATATATAACGTTAGTCTATCGCCATTCATACAAATTTCATCATTCACAGCAAATTTAAAAAAAAAAAAATACGGATTTTTAACGGGGAAAATTCATCCAAATAATTACAAATCAGATATTTATTGTTTTATAGAATAGAATAGAATAGAATATTTTTATTTACCAAATTTATATAACCGGATTAACTATAGAGGGTTTAATTTCACTTGGCACCTTTGTTATGATCGTTTCTAGATTCCCTTTTATTTACGAAGTGCAAAGCAAACGATACATATTATTGGTTTCTCTCAATAATCACTTAAAACCTTTCTAGTCATGTCACTATTTTAACATTTTAAGTTCCACTGTACGATTGAATAGTTTAAACTGTATTAAAAAGTAATATATAATGATAACAACCACCAATAAATGTTATCAGGTTCATTAGACTGTGTAATAAGGGGATATAGAAACAAAGAGCGGCATCACGAGGAGGATTTGACGAGGAGCGTGAAGAATGGTTTCGAAAGGCGTTTTAATTTTCACAGTTTTGACTGCAACATGCTCAAGTCAAATCATCAGATATAACATCAATCACCATTGTCTTGGTGGGACTGGTGGTGTATTCGAATGTGATCGTTTAAAAAATGAGAGATACATGCTGTCAGGCGAGAATGTGCAAGTGATAATCTTCAATCGGGTGGACAGTGACGTCGAACTTATTATTTCAACCACCAACTTTAAGAAGGAATTGAATCAAATTAAAATCAAAGTAGGATTCTGCCCTCGATTAACAATAAGAGGAAACATTATTAAGCACACCACCATAGAACATGCAAATAAAGAATGTCAGGTGAGTTTTATCATGATTTTTTTTTTTTTAATCTCCCTATGACAGTAGCCTATGTTAGACAAGATTACATTCAATATCAGTGCACTATGTATTTATTGAAATAATCAATTTATGGAGGTGGTAAAAGGAGGGTTCTGAATACACTAACACATGAAATAAAAAGCACAGAAACATAACACGAATAAAAGGAAAAAAATAAGTATAACCACTAAAATACAGTTAGATATATAGTGGTCGAGTATGTCTGTCCGTCTGTTCACCTGAATCGGTTTTCTTTTCCAAGAAGGATATGTGCTATTATAATGAAACTGAGGATAATATCATAGCAGGATGGAGGCGTCATGTCTTTTGTACATAGTGTTGTTTTGTAAGATGCATGTATTTTCATAGTATTTTTTTTTCAGTATGAAACGTCTACAACCACAGTGTCCAGAGACAACAAACGTGACAAAGTACAAATATCAACATATCAGAGCAATCATGGTTCCACCACATCAATCAATAAAAAACATTTTGACTCCACCACAATGTCAGTAAATAACGACAAAAGACAGACCTCTGAGCATACTTCACCTGTACATAGCAGTTCTGCGACAGCGAGGAATGATGATTCCGTCACACCTGTGCACGGTAGTACTTTGACAATGAGAAATGATGATTCCGCCACAATGACAATGTCAGGAAGCAACGAAGGGGACAAAAGACAGACATCTGAGTACCAGCATACAACACCTGTGTGTCCAGGTACAAAATGTACTTCTACAATTGGGGATGGTCATCATGATCATGAGGAAACAGAAAAGGTGAAAACCTACCTTGTATGGTTAATTACTATGACTGCCTGTAAGTATAATCAAAAGAACTAGGTAATACCAAAATACCAAAATAAGGAAACTTTCAAGAAAGACAATAAATCTGAAGATTAACAATCAATAATCAAGTAACTATAACAGTTGTCATAACTTAACACAGGCAAAAAAAAAATAAAAAAATGAGTGTATTAAAATTTATTGGTATCACATAGATCTAGCTGATTTATTTACTTATCATCCTACACCAGTGAAACTGATCATCACAGTCATCACAGTTAACTTTTTGAGCACAACACCAGAAATATATTTTACTTGTTATTCTTTATATATGTTTATAACATATTTTGGGGGGGGGGGGGGGGGGGGGGGGGGGAAATTCACAAGTCCAAGAATAGTTGAACTGACAAAAGCCAATGTGTATTTTGGTTGAATTAGAACTCTGCAAATTTATAGCTGAAATATTTTTCAAAAGCTACATTAAAGAACATTTATTAATCAAATACATCATACAAATTTATTAACAAGCTTAAAATAATGTTTTGTTTCTTTTTAATTTATAGTGTGTGTGGTATTAACATGTTCCACCATAATTTTCTTCTGCTGCCGTGGAACCATACGTGGACGAAACTGTTTTTTAAATTGCTTGTCCAGACACTGTGGATGTTGCTCATGTTATAGAAAATCACCACTCCAACATTATGAATTAAATACTAGCGGATTGAATAATGACCACTCTGATATGTGTATTGATGACAGTGAATTATATAACATTTAATTTTTTTTTGTTAAAGATGCTGCCTTGAACTGGTTTTTGCAACGAATTGGAATCAATATACCAGTCATTATGCCAAATATTCAATTTCATGACCAGCAAATGATGCATAGATATTTAAATCAAAACCCCATCGAAGCCAATCCTAATGCACAAGTCATACAGAATGCACCAAGACATGATCCAAACCCTCAAGCAATCCCCCAAGCTAATCCTAATGCACAAGTAATACAGATTGTGCAAGCAAGACCTGAACCAAACCCTCAAGCAATCCCCCAAGTCGTACAGAATGCACCAAGACATGATCCAAACCCTCAAGCAATCCCCCCAGCTAATCCTGATGCACAAGTCATACAGATTGCACAAGAAAGACATGAAGCAAACCCTCAAGCAATCCCAGTTCAAAGACAACAAGAACATAATGCTCTAGTTTTAAGGAAATCGACAAGAATGACAAAAGCTATTCAAAGATATGGATTTGGCAATTAAGTACTTTTTGGATATACAAGATTATTGCAATGAATACAATATTACTTCAAATACATCATAAAAAAATACAGCTGGTCAATTTTCATATTGTGAACACTACATTAATTATCAATATGGAATTGTGATTGATTGATTGTTAGTTGCTTAACGTCCAGTGGCAAATATTTCATGCATATTCAGGACGAGAACAAGTTTACAATAAATACAATAGGTAAGTTCTGTAATAGATTAAGGGATTAAGGTCGGAGAAATTTAGACTGCCACGGGAAATGAGGGTATATTGGATAGGGACAGAAATTTAGCCTTGCAACAGGTCACCTACGGACCCCTCAAAGAGTTGTTGCAAGGGTTCTTAACGTGCAAAGAGCGTGGCACTCTCTTTACACGAGGCATCGGATTTAACGTCCCCATTCTGACCGGACGTGGCTGCAAATTTGTACATCCCGCACAGCCAAACGGACGCCCCACTTTAGCACGGGTTTTACTGCCGGTCGGAGGAAGACCAATGGTGACCATACTTCTATTCCCCAGTCACCCTTGGGGGGTGGAATTGTGAGAAAAAGCATTTCAATCTGTGTATACATTAGGTGGTTAAACATGTTAGATGTGCATTCAAATACTGATTTTTATGTACTTTGTTTTTAAATGCTCAAAAATTAACCATGACTCTATGTTGTTGTCTTAATTTTACAGAGTTTTAGGAATTGTTTTATCAAGTTAAGGAATGCTTGACCAAATGTTCATTTTTTAATTTAGTATGCATAGATGTACTAAAAGCAAATTACAAGCATAGTTAATGCTTGTAACAGTAGATTATGAGTGCATTAGTAATGTTTGTAATATTTAAATTGATTTGTTTTATCATGCTTGTTTTATTTGACAGTGAGTTTTATAGGATTACATTTTATATCAAATTTCTGTAGGGATGAGACAACCCATTTTATTCAATGAGGTGATTTGTTTGTTTGCAACCTTAATGCATAGTTAATTACTGTTTTATTTGACTAGTGAGTTTTACAGGATACAATTTTATATCAATTTTTGTAAAGACTCAAATAGTTTATAATTATTGAAATTTACATTCCATTTTTGTTACAATATTCCTATCTCCACATAAAGCAATTTTAGAGGTTCTACCTCATCAATTTCATATCAACTTTCACTAACACTCAAAATAATTATAATCATTGAAATTGTTACTCCATTTTTGCTGTAATATTCCTGTCTCTACATAGTGTTGACTTTTTATACCTTTTACCTCATCATTTTTACAATGATTTCATATTGCTTATATGAATATTATTAGAAATTTACTGATTCAGGGTAGTTATATGTAGTATCCACTTTTTATTATGTTCACAATGACTTTATATTGATTATTAAAATGGTGCTTATATGAATTTTATTAGAAATTCACTGTTGTTGATTCAGGGTAGTTATTGTTGTATCAACCTCTTATCATTTTACAATGATTTTATCTTGATTATTAAAATGGTGCTTATACAATGCATGATATTATTGAAAATTTATTGTTATTGATTTAGGGTAATTATATGTAGTAGTGATCTTTTTTATTATATTTACAATGATTTTTTATATTGATTATAACATGTGTGTTTGTATGAATATTATTGAAAATTTATTGTTATTGATTCACCTATGCAGTTAATACTCAGGTTTTTTTTGTTACTTTTTTTTATAAATTTATTGAATGTTAATGAAATTTTGTCTTGTTATTGTTTACATTGATATTTTTTTTTATTTTTTATTATCAGATTGTAATCATCATAGGTTTGTGCTCTAAATAATTGTACCCCCAAGGGTGACTGGGGAATAGAAGTATGGTCACCATTGGTCTTCCTCCGACCGGCAGTAAAACCCGTGCTAAAGTGGGGCGTCCGTTTGGCTGTGCGGGATGTACAAATTTGCAGCCACGTCCGGTCAGAATGGGGACGTTAAATCCGATGCCTCGTGTAAAGAGAGTGCCACGCTCTTTGCACGTTAAGAACCCTTGCAACAACTCTTTGAGGGGTCCGTAGGTGACCTGTTGCAAGGCTAAATTTCTGTCCCTATCCAATATACCCTCATTTCCCGTGGCAGTCTAAATTTCTCCGACCTTAATCCCTTAATTTATTACAGAACCTACCTATTGTATTTATTGTGAACTTGTTCTCGTCCTGAATATGCATGAAATATTTGCCACTGGACGTTAAGCAACCAACAATCAATCAATCTAAATAATTGTTTAATTAATGCTCAGATTGAAAATTTTGTTTAAAGCCAAATGCAAATAATCATTTTAATACTCAATCATATACATACTTTTGGAAATTACTATATTAATCATTATTGGAAATATTATAAATTCAAATGCAGACAATCATCTTTATTGCATGCCATTGGAAATTGTCATATTGATTGTTATTGATTATATTTTTTTGTTATATTTTACAATTTTGTTAATCGAACATTAATAAATAAAAAAGAATTGTCAATAATCTTGATTGTCTTCACTTTATAAGTTGTGAAACAACCCAACATTGATACTAAAATATACAGGAGACTAGTTCCTACATTGCATCTTAAATAATTACACATCAAATTATGCAAGGAAAAAAAAACATCCAAAAAAGACAAAATCAGTGATCCTCAGCTCTTGACTTTTGACAGGTGTTTAAAACATCTTGGATAATCAACCATCAAATTATGGGGGCAGAATCTACAAGGGAAAGAAAACACTCATATATACAAGTTTGCTGATTAAGAAAATATATACATATATATCACGATCTCATACACATTTCAGGGATATATAGAAGCATCTTGTCTCTTCATCTCTCTCTCCCTGTCTGCAAAGTTGCAACTGGACCATCATTTTTGATTATCTTATCTTGATTATGATAAAATTTGTTGACATTGTTCTCTCATTAGATAGTCCATCAAAATAAGAACATATTACATAGGTACAAGTTCAAGGACACAACAAAGGGTATCTTGTATGATGCATTAATGGAGAACAATGAGTTATTGATAGTGTAGAGAGGGTGTGATTGTAGACTATGGAAAAACCTTTTAGATAGAAACATTTACAAACCAAGTAAATTAAAACATACCATTGACGATTGCAACAGTGTCATTGCTATCTACCTCTGAAATACCAGAATCTTCCTCACTCAGGTCGTTCAAGGAAAGTGATAAAATATCAGAGTCATTGTCACTGACGATGTCGTCATCATCCGGGATGAGGATGGGATTCATTGAAGATCCCAACCGACTGACCTCATCAACAATGATTGGATTTTCAAAGGAATCCGATTGAAACTCAAAAATCATTATGTCTACTACAACATACACACACATTCCATTTGATATCCTCATCGGCTGCAGAACATAACAAAGTTCCATAATGTCAGCTTTATGTTCACCAATATAAATCACAAATGTGTTACAACACCTTTTTCGATTTTCGTATAGTAATAATATTTCATTAAAATGAAAATAGTGTGAAAATAAAACACAGTAGGAATTTTGAAATTACCCATTTAGATTTTGATGAGAAAATGTTTGAAGACCGATGATATACAATTAAAAAATCATTTTTTCACTAGTTTTAGCAAATTACCATTTCTATCAATGGACAATTTAAAGGTTTGGTGATTCTATAGCAATATCTCGAATTTGAGAATTAATAGGTCGTATTTTTTTTTATTTTATTCATACAGTTGAAGGTTACAAAAAATGAATCTTCATGATTTCAAATTGATCCTGAAAATATGAAAACTGAGAATGACAG